ATAAATATATTTATTTATTTATTTTATTTATTAAGTTTTTTATTCATAAGTATCGGTAATCATAACCGTATATGGAATGAATTGGCAGCACTTTAACTATATAGTATAGATCATTTCGGGGGATTCGCGATCATATACATACCATCTTTTCTTCACTTAGATGTGGTGCAGCAAGATGAGGGATAGCTTTGCTGTGACCTGGGTGTCAAACTATGTGCACCCGCCCGACAGATTCAGGTAATATACACGGGAAAACGGTTATTTAATGCTGAATTGATAGCAAATAACAATCACTATGTTACCCGTTGTGTCCCCGACCGGAAGCCTATTTTTCGCGTAAAAGCACGTTACAAAGTGGCCATTTCACGTCTGTGCCGGGAAAAGCTTGCTTACAGAAATTATTATGGAAGCGTATTTGAGTTAACAACGCATATAATATGGAGTCACTTGCAACGTCAATTCAGAGGATGGCATTGTGATTTCTCACTTGCTGATTTATTGGAATTTTTTCGTATGCATGGCCGCTAATAGACGACTTAGAGCAAGTCTGAGTAACACGAGAGCACGTACGTCATATGATATAATGTGACAGCGAAGCTGTGTCACGTGAGACTAACCACAGACGAATCACGCGCTCAGAAAATTCTGACATCATGAGGTGGAGAAAATACATCATCAGCGAAGTGTTATCATGCGTTCTAGTTCGGGGTAACCCACTCCCGTTTTCGCATTCCAGGGTAAATGGTCCGATGTCGCACTACCCCGAGTTTGCAAAAACCTGGAATTGTCCAGCAGGAAGTCCCATGAACGCGGAAAAGAAGTGCGTCATATGGTGACGTCAGTTGGGACATCAGCACGGAAAGCAACGATAAAAATCTGCAGAAATTATTAAAGCGTAAAAAGCGCAATTATATATTATACGCGTGGTAATGACGCATATTTCAGTTTTACCGGTGATATTGTAAGGCAGTTAAGCACACGAATTGTGCACTTTTGGGTAGAATTGTGAAACATCGCACACGTGTACTGCATGAGGTCCTGATGATATTCCGATATTGTTGCTATGGTTGTGACATAATGCTCAATGTGCCCAGGTTTATTTGTGTATCCGCTGCACAAATATGACAAGACGTGCGTGCCAGGAACTATATATATATATATATATATACGTGTGACGCCTACATAATAATAATAATAATAATAATAATAATAATAATAATAACTTAAACCGTGATAATGGCGAACAATCCTCTCATGTAGTAAAACTCACTTTCTGCGTGCGAGGAATTGCGAGTGTATATAAAAGAAAAATGTGAAATAATATATCAACTAGTTAGTGGACAGAGGGTCACGAAAACAACATCAATTTTAATTGCAAATGATAATTAAGTGCGCTTGATGAACCGTCTTACCTGTTGGACATCACCGTGGATCTTGGCTGGGATGTGAACGCACCGTAACGTAAAACAATGGGTGGTTTTGCAAGCGATCTGTTTCGAGATGTATTACCACATCAATATTATAAAAAATAAAAAGTAAAATTATAATCTCCCAGCACATTTTGATCACTCAAATATAGGAAATATAGGACTGTTTATTCTCAAATATAGGAGTTTATAGGACAACGCATATGCTTATTATAAGGCATTCTGGCGTATTTAATAGTGTTGGCCGATCTGTGTTCAACTTTTATAGACAGGTATATACTTGGTAACAGGAAAACTGGTTTTCCCCTGCTATAATAGTCAGTCCATAGTTAGCAATGAGTTTACATCTCAACTAGGCCACAGCTATTTCTTTGCTTATTTTTCGCATATGAATCTATGAGAATCCGTTTTCTGTTTTTCCCGGGTCTTCTCCATTGTAGAAAACCCCAAATTTACTGCTGATCACAGGACTCTCAGAGGGTAGCTTTAAAAATGAGTGAGATTAATTTTGAATAAGAAAATCGCAGGCGCGAAGGGGAGGTAGGTGGAGGGAGGGGTGTCCCCCTCCCCCGGTAGAGATTTTTTTAATGGGGTGCTATTTGATGCACTCAGCAGCAATCTGAACATGATAATTGTTGCTTATATAGGCATGAAAAAACATACAATGTACCAAAAACGGCTAGACCCACTCCACGTAACGAAGAAAAACTGGATTCTTGCAATTGCGTGAGATTTTCGGGGACTATCAGAAATGTGCGTGAGAGCGTCAGATTGTGCTGAATTGATGCGAGTCTCATGCCAAATGCGTGTGCACTGTGATCATACAAATAATCCAGTCACGTGGTTTTGCAACCAGTCAAATAATGAAATATAGGAAATATAGGAATTATAGGAGCTCTGGGAGCCATGTAATATATATATATTTACTTATTTATTTATAAAAAAGGAATGTGTAATAGGTATAGCTTCCACACTCCGCCACGCCCCCTACACTACACCACGACACCCTACACGCCTCACACTAGCACCACACCCCTTACACGGCATCCACACTACACCACCGCCCCTACACGCCTCCACCTACACCCACGCCCATCTA